TACTGCCGGCAGTAATGCAAGCAAACGTTCAATGATTGTCCCTAATGTTACCATTTCAATAAATTAAATAAAAAAGTAATCCCATCACTTTTATATGCTTATTTTAATGAAATATCATTTAAACATTATTATAAATTGCTTTAATACATATAAAAAAGTGAAAATACCACGTTTGCTTGCACTTTCAAATCATGCAGTTCCGCTTTACTTCTAATTAGAAGATCATGGAGTTTGCATCTTCGGTAACATTCCTAATTTCTTTAATTATTTTATAAATATAAATTATATTGAATATCTTATACAGTTGTGCTTATATTTAGATGATAATTATAGTTTAATATTAAAAATATTCTTAATGTATTCTTAATGTATAACGATCTCATACTTTTATATAAATGCCGCAATTAAAAAAAGCGGCAGTAATTGAGACACTGGCAGTAATTGGGACATTTACCCTAGTATAAAAAAGGTCTATTCTACTTATTTTTTTGCACCTCATTCACGCTTGTATCCCCAAATTTGGAACATTGTTAAATAATAGAATATTATAGGCAAATAATGAAGAAATATTAAGGAAGTATTTATAATATCAATATATATATTAATATACAAATGTAGCTATATGTATAATAAAACATATGTTATTTTCTTTGTTTTATTTTTTAACAGTAAATTCAGCCAATTTGAAGTCTTTCGAAAGATTAAAAAATTCAGTCAGTTTGAAGTATTTTGGAAGATTAAAAAATATGTTCTGTACGAATTAATATAATTTGAATTAAATTTTAGTGTAATAAAATTATATTTTCTAACTAACTTTAGATAGTATTTATTTTATCATAGAATTATGATAACTTAATAACAAAAATGTAAACTTACTAATGTAACTGTAATGAAACAAAAATTATAAGCTTACAGTACTCGTATATGAGAAATGAAAAATGTACGAAATATTTTGAACATATTTCGTCTTATCATTGATCAAGTAACATTATCGAGTTTCTGCCATTACGAAGAAACTTCGGCTTTGTTGTAGCATAAGACAATAGTCGTCCATTTTAAGCTAGTTAATGAAGTTCGGACTTCATCTAAACCTGTCATCTAACTTTCATTAAGAAACTGCCTCTCATCTGGACATAAATGCGAAACTATATAAGATGTAGAGATATTAACAAATTATGTCAGTTATACAATAAAATGCATAATGTGTCTAAAATATTTTCTTTAAAAAAATGTCTATTAATATATATTGCATCATACATTTTACATAGATTATTTCTTGGTTTTCTGATTTTTATAAATGTTTTTGTAAATGTTAATTGTAATAATAATTTGGCAAAATGATGATGTAATAAATATAAAGCATAAATAAATATAAATATTTCATATTTTTATGTAATTTTTTAAAAATTATTTCTCTTGAAGAGAGAGAGAGAGAATGATGGTTTAATTTGTGTACAACACGATATATTTTATTTCAGATGAAATACATTTTATAAAGGTTGGAATTATGAAACATCTGATTAGAGTTTCCATTTGACGTGAGAAGGAATATTGTATATTTTTTTCTACCGGCGGGGATGACTGCTTAGGGAATTGCGCGACTAGACGAGAAGCATTTTAATTTTATCCACGTTAAAAAGAAAAGGTCTAAACATTATTCAGCCACGTTCTTCTAAGTAAATAAGCCTTGCTTATTTATTTTGAATTGTTTTATATCGTTCTTACTAAATCCTACTGTGGAAACATAACTCAAAGAGCGGATTATAATTTGAGACATTATTATATAATTTATAAAATTATAGAGGCAAAAAATATATGTATACAACA